TCAACCAGATCGCTCGGTCTCTCTCTGTCTCTACAAGATAGGCACTCATTCAATCAAACCGCTCGGTTCTTCCTAATCTCTACTACTTTTCCTTGTCTAAATTTTGTCTTTCTGTTTTTATTTCTTTTTCAGAAACTTCAAAATTTAACAAAAATATTTTATCTTTCTGTTTTTATTCCTTTTTCAGAAAATTAAAAATTAACAAAAATATTTTGTCTTTCAGTATTTATTTATCTCTAAGTAAATTTCAAAATTTCAAAAATATTTTATATGTACTTCTTGCTCAAGTGAATACAAGTATGGCCTTATGGAACGTTCATCCAGGTATGTTTTTCTCTTATAAGACTAGTTAGACGTCCTAGAAGCATGCTGCTGTATGTTGTCCCAAGCCTCTATGACCTCGAGCATGCCTTAATGATTCGATCAATACCTATCGTTTCTTCCCAATCAGGCTATTCTCTCATATTCGGTCTAGAGCTACCTTCTTTTACTCATCTGAAACATGAGTTGCTCTGCTTTGTCCCATTTATGTAGCAGAAGGTACTTTCGGTCTCTTAACCATCTCTTCAACTTCTTCACTTACATTCGCTCCCCAAAGTAACCCTTGATGCTCTCAGTCTTTACCACTGAGGCTTATGGTTGCACAACATCTGAGTTCATGATCTTAGATTCGATTACCACGTTCTGAGTGAAACCCAAAATCCAACACCTAAATAGAATTGACGGTGAGTTATTAACTCAAGCTTTTACTTGGAAATCTTCTTTATGAGTGATCTTTTATGAAACTGTCTCGTCCTAAGACATTTCTTCCCAAAGAGATCCAGTTTAATTTATTTTGAGATTTCTGTCTATATCATTCCCATCACAGAATACTTCCCACCTACCTGTTCAACAGATCACATCGGTCTCACAGGTAACTCTACCAACACTTAAGTTTTATGTCAAGACTTAATGTTTGGATTGAGTTCAGCCACCTCTTAGCCATCATCAGAAGACGCCTTTCATTGTTTCTCTAAAAACAACTGATCGTATTTCTCGGGAAACCACACAAACACTTCAGGTCTCTCTTGACTCTGAAGGAAGCGATTCTTGCCCGGAATCTTCTGCCTTCTGTCTTTTATTTAGACAACACGCACTACCAAACACATTAGATTTATTTCCTTGTCTTTCACACTCTTATGCACGGAATTATTTTCCCACATTCTAATTACTGTTTGGCACATGGTTCTAAGTCTCAACTGTAACCAAACAAGGGCACAAGGGATTTCAAACGGTACGAAAAAGATTTGGGCGCGTGCAAAGGATTCGTTTCAGCCCCACGTGTGCTGACGTCTTCATTGAATACACCATAACTTCTAATCGCGCTTTTTCAGGCGACGTTTTGGGTTCCTAATCATCACGATTTTCTCTCTCCTGAGAACGGTATAAATAAGACGTGATCGTGTTCTTTGGCAGTTACCTCTCAAAGCATTATCTCTCTGAAAAAGTTGCCCCTGTTCATCTTCTTCCAAAAACTCAACAATGGCGACTTCTTCTTCCACTCACGATCAGTCTGCTTCTTCTTCTTTTCTTGCAATCAAACCAAATCAGAACATGATCATAGAGTTGTCTCCATACGTCTATGACTCATATATGCTCTACGTGGTGGAATGCCTCACATATTCCCCATTGGTATTGGCATTAACGCAGGTGGAGGCAGTTCCTATGTCCCTGCTATCTCAAGTCTACTCCACAGCAAGCTATGACAAAACAAAGACCGTATCTACTTCTCTATTCACGACAAGAAGACTTCCGTTTCCAAAGCACGGTTTTGCTCTCTTCTAGGGCTTGCCGTAGATGCTTCTGTTATTTCACCAGACTTCATCACAACCGCCCAAATCTTTAAGATGATGTACGAGATGGGGTATACAGATGTTCTAACATCTGTTGGCAAAGTCAAGAAATCATGTCTTCCATCTCAGTGGAATGGATTGCTTACCCTTTTAATTAAGGGTTTAGCGGAGCGATGTGGTGGTTCCGACACCACTAGCAAAGGATTTCTCACAATGCTGTATGGGCTTTACAACGGGATCAATCTGGACTATGGGTCGATTCTCTGGTCTCAAGTGGTTCAGAGTCTCAACTCTACCGCAAGGCACTCAGAAATTTCATGCGCCAGGTTTTGGACCCTCATCACCAGGAGAGCCATTGATTCTCTGACATCCCTGTCATGAAGGATGTTCTTATGGCTTCAATTGCCACATACCACACCAAGAAAATCATTCTCTCAGATCCAAGTAAGTTCCTCCACTATGGACTAATCCCTGAGTCCATGTACAGATGTGTCACGCCCCACAGCAAGATTATGGCGGACTACAGCTCCAGAACCCCCTGCCTCCTAGGGTTCTTTCCGAGGAACAACGTGCAGCTCTTGAGGCTCTGGATCAGCCTGCTAACCGGGGCAAAAGAGCGAGCAAAAAGGAGAAGGCTGAGATGAAGGAACCCGCACCCCAAAAGGAGAAAAAGAGAAGGTCCTCCAAACGCAAATCCGAGGCAGAGGCACCTTCTCAGCCGAGATCGAAAAAGGTCAAGAAGATGGCTAAAAGAGCCAAAGGATCTCCTTCTGAATCAAAACAGAATGCACCATCCGAAACAGAAGATGTTGATCCTCAACCCGAAACTGCACCCGTTTCGTCTCCACAAAACTCACCTACCCCACCAGACGTTAATCCTCAACCGAAACTACACCCGTTTCGTCTCCACAAAACTCACCTACCCCACCTAAATCTCCCCAAATTACCAAATCTCCTTCTCCTCCTACTTCCCCAAAATTTTCAACCCCAACCCAATCACCCAAACAGAACATCTCAAGTTCTGTTCCAACATCAATTTCCCAAACCACAACCGAAACCACTATTCCTTTCATCATTTCTCAACCTTTATCTTCTATCTCCCAACCTATTATCACAGAATCTATCACCATAACCACAACCCAACCACTAGTAACGGTCAACGTATCTGATACGGGGGCTGCTTCTGTGGTTGAAACCCCGGTCATCAACCTTCAACCTTCTCCATCTTCCAACTCCGGTGCTACCCTAGGGGGTGATGATGATGAATTTGATTCCATCTATTACAGCCCTTACCGGATCCCTACCAACATCGATACAGATACCCCTGTGTCAAGTCAGCAACTTCAAGAGATTCACGCAAAACTCGACAGTCTGCTGGCTGACAGTAAAGCATATGGGGGTGCTGTGCTGAAGGCTTCATCGAGTCAGCAATCCAGACTTACACCGAAGCCTTGGATCGCTCTACTGACGCTGTAGACAATTCAGCAGCCTCATGCTCCAAAGCACTAAGGAAGTTTCTGAGGTTGTTCATACAACTCAGATCTTTCTTGATTCTCTCAAGGCTCATGCTGATTCAAATGCTTCCAAATTTCAAGCGTCAGTAGACTCGTTCGCAGCCACCCTTCAGGGAGAAACCAGGAAATTTGAGGCTCTGCGTGCTGACCTCAAAACTGAATCCACTTCAATTCTCAAATCTTTGGATTCACGTTTTGCCTCTTTAGCAGCCGAGAGCACCCTGAAGGAAGAAGTTATCAAGCACCAGGCAACTATTGACTTACAGAAAGTTCAACTGGCTCAGGCACAACAAGAAATCACTTTACTTCAAACTCAACGGGCAGTTCTTCAGAGTTGCACTGGTGACGTTAAAAATATGTTAACCGGTGTTCTTGACTCCCATGATCCTTCCTAACCCTCACTATTCGTCAGCATCTCCAGGCGAAACTCCTTCCGGCGATCACTATCCTAAGTGAAATGAAGGGTGTCTCGGAGAAGCATGTTCTTCCGAGACAAGGGGGAGAGGAAGGTATGTCCAAACAAGAACCGAAGGGTAATGTAGCTTCGGGTTCTGGTAAACATGTCCTAGTTGAGAGCGAATCAGAATCAGATGAAACCATTACTGAAGCTCTTCAACGCAAGAAACGGGACAGAGAGCTTGATGAAACATTGAAGATAGCTCGTGAGGCAGAAGCCAGAGAAAGGAAAATCCGGGAGGATGAGGAGACAATTCAAGCTAAAAAGACTCTGTTCCCAGATTGGGACAGAGACACACTCATCACTCAAGCAATTGAGTTTCCTTCTATTTATTGGTTGGAACCGATTGCATCTTTTGAGTGTGAAAACTCCAAAGACTCGCAGTTCGACATGCCCATTACGCGTAAAGCCTTCACTTTTCACTGCTTTGATGTCACTGCAAACGTCCCTCATCCGAACCCGAAGGTTGACAGGGAGCTTATCGATTTCTATCTGAAATTCGGTCAACCTCAGTACTTGACTTGGAGTGCCCAGAAAATTATAAGAGTCAAGGTACTGAAACCAACCCAGGCTGGGAAATTTGTAAACGTCAATTTCAAAATCAACAGAGGAACTGCCAACACCGAACATCTTATTTATCTGGCAGATCTTCCCAGTCTGAACCCCCACGATTGGATCTTGCTATACAACATTCTTCTCTCCAACCAGAGAGAATATGAACCAATTCTTTCTCATCTTAAAAGAATGTTGGCTTCCTATGTCCATGAGCTAGCCACTATGGATCAGGAAATAGCAAAGGTGATGAATAAGAAACCGACTGTCAAGCCCACTTCCAAAACCGGAGATGTCCATAAAATGAAGTTGGGGCAGATTGATTCTTCCAATCTGAAAGTTATGTTCACAAGGGGGGATAAGCACAAATTTCTGTTTGCGTTGGTAGACAAGCATCTGTTCTCTACAGAGTGTCTGGAGCACATCATCAATATCATTCACCGATGCAAACAGAACTCAACAACAGATAAGAAGAACTTTACAGATATGCTTC